GCTGTGGATGCAGCTCAGTGGGAAAGCCCTGGGTTCAGTCCCCAGTACCGCACACACACAAACACACACACACACACACACACACACACACACACACACACCCCTAGCCCACTGAAGATGAATGTGGACTCACAAGCACAAGGACCCGAGTTCCATCCCCGGTACCAAAAAAAAAGAAGATGAATGTGGATCCAAGTGACCAGAGTGGTTGGCACACCCTACATTGCACAACTTGCCCCAGCCAGGCAGCAGAAAGGGATCCTCCTTGCCTGCCCTGGCTTCAGGGGAGGGCGAAGTGAGCATGTGTCTACAAAGTGCTGGCACCCAGGGAAGCAGCACCCACAGAGCATGGCTGGGCCTGGCAGGGCCACACTTGAAAGCACCCATGACTACACCTCACAGCACCCTCTAGGGTGGGGCACCCTGGGCTCCAGTCTGGGCCAGAGTGGACAGGCCAGGGCAGATGAGCACGCTCCCTGCCTTCTGACCTCACCCTAAATTTATAGAGCTGGGCTGGGTGGGGCTGGGAGACATGTGAAACAAAGGCTTGGGACATCTCAAGCAGAGACCCTTGGGACATCCAGAAGCTCCCAGGGAGACCCTGGGGCAGTGATAGGACCCAGCAAGGGAGATGGGGCAGAGACCAGAGGTTCTGGGTGCTTGCTACCCTTGGCCTGACAGCCCGAAGATCTCAGCAGCCTCTCCAGAATGACCTCAGACTCATATGACCTCTGTCCAATGGGAGCAGGTGGGCTGGAAAGAGATGCCCCTATGAGCGCTCTCAAAAAGAAAACAGACTGGGGTGGGGTGGGGGGGAGAGTGAGAGTGAGAGAGAGAGAGAGAGAGAAAACAGACTAGGAGGGCCAGAGATTTAGTTCAGTGGTTCTGCCGCCTGCCTCTACAAGTGTAAGGTCCTGAGTTCGATCCCAGGTACCAAAAACAAAAAAGAAAGAAAGAAAACAGACTAGGCCTGCTAGCACATTCCTGAAATCTGAGCACTCTGGGAAACTGAAGTAAGAGGATCACAAGTTCAAGACCCTACTTTAACAAAAAAAAATTTTTTAAGGGGTGGAGATGTAGCTCAAGGTCCTGGGTTCAATCCCTAATACCTCCCCTTCAAAGAAAAAGAGAGAGAGAAAAGGAGGAAACAGACTCAGAGAGAGCATGAGACTCTTTCAGGTAAATGGCCTGGAGTCCAGCCACCAGCCCTCAGTGTCTCAAGTCTGGGAGCATACAGGACAAGTCCTAAAAGGCCTAGGCCCCTCACAGAACTATTAGTAGAACCTCAGCCCAGGATGGGATGGCAACAGGTTGGGTCTGGGATAGAAGGAAATAGGGAGCCCAGGGTAATAGAAACAAAAGAGGCCATCACTCCTGTTTTTACTGGGACAGTGGCCAGCCACTTAACCTCTCTGAACCTCAGTTTCCCAGACTGAAAGATCACAGAACCTAAATCAGGGGAAGCAGGGCTAGCAGGAGCCCGGGCTGGCACCTCTCTCACAGCTAGACAGGGGCCTGGACCCCACAGATGGTCAGGTGGAGGAGGGGAAAGTAAGAAGTGAGCCTCAGGTAGAACCAATCCACACAGCCAGCCTTTGCTTCCAGTCTCAGCTCCCTCCCTCCTGCCCAAGTTACCGCCTGTGGGAGCCAGCCCACTCTTCTGAGCTCTCCCCACCCAGGTGCCAATTGTGGAGGACCTAGACCCACTACTTTGTCCTCCCCAACCCAACCTGGGTGAATGAGGATGAATGACAGAAGGAAGTCTGTTTAACATGGGGGGCAGCTGGGGGGCTCTGGCCTCTTAGTAGGCTAAGGAGGGCGCACCACCACCCATATATGGCTCATCCTACTTTTAGTCAACCAAACACGGGCATAAGCAATCAAAGTAACACAAGATTCATCTGCTTTCCAGTATCCATTAATAGATGCTCAGGTAAACAACTGAATCTCAGCTATCTTAACTTTTCCCTCGAACCTGCATATTCCATCATCCCTGAGTGCAGCCTTTCTCCTTTCTCTGTGCTCACAGAGGAGGCCAATTAGGCCTCAATTCTCCTCTGGTCTCCCATATGCAGGTCTAGGCAAGTTTGTGCGAACTCTCACTTGGCTCTCTGTGCTGGGGAAATCATGAGCAAAGGGGGCTTTGAGATCATAATCTGCAAAAAGGGAAACTGAGGCCTAGAAAGGCGTGGCCTTGGCCAAAACTGCACAAGAAGCCATGGCAAAGCGGGGACAAGATTCAGATTCACATTTGTTGAACTTGAGGTTTCCTGGCCAGCTTGGGAAATTTGATAGCCACTTTCATTTTTTTGTTTTGTTTTTTGAGACAGGGTCTCACTATGTAGTTCAGGCTGGCCTTGAACTCACTATGTAGCCCAGGCTGGACTCAAACTCAGAGATCCTCCTGCCTCAGCCTCCTGAGTGTTGAGATTACAAGTATGTACCCCTGATAGCCACTTTTGTCCTGACCTGTCCCCCTCAGCACTGCGCCTTGGGGTTTCTGATCTGGGCCAGCCCCACTGCTTGGGGTAAGAGGGAAATCGCTGGACCCCACCAACTCTCCCATTCCAGGTAGATAACCATAACATAATTATGATGCACCAGGCCCCGGGCTAACGTCCTCACTTGCATGAAGCCAGCAATCTTCAGGCCAACTCAAGGACTTGAGTATTATTATTACCTCTGAGTTCCACTGGGTAAATTGAGGCACCGAGTCTAACTTGGACGAGGTCACCTCCTTGGTGGCAGAATCAGTGAACTCAGGCCAATGTGAGTTCACACTCCTAAAGACCACACTGGCCAGCTGTCAGTCACCATCACAGGCCCCTTGTAGTTCAAGCTGTCATTGAGGGTGGTGTCCAGCATCTGTAATTTCACCACTCTAGGAGGCTGAGGCAAGAGGATCGAAAGTTTGAGCCCACCCTCAGTAACTTGGTGAATTCTTGTCTCAAATTAAAATAATAATAATAATAATAATAACAGAACATATTGGGGATGTAGCTCAATGCATGGGTTCAATCCTCGGCTGGAAAGAAAAAAAAAAAAATCTGGCTCTGCTGCTTCCAGCACGGGGCACGGTTCCAGCTCTGATGCTGGTCATTTGTTTTCTCTAACAAGGGAAGTTTCCAGATGTGGGCAGAACCTTCTCCACCCCTCCCGCTGCCACTAGCAAGCCTGGGTGCGTGGGGAGGAGGTGGGGAATGCAGGGGGAGGGACCGTCCCAGGCTGGTCATTGCCATTAATAGAGACCTTGAAGCACCGCCTGCTAAAAATACCCGGCTGGAGACCTATAAAGGCGCAGCCCGGGGCCCGGGTACAGCACTTTTCCGAGTCTGCCCGCCGCGCTAGTGGACACGAATCGACCTGATCCAGCATGACTGAGCGCCGCGTGCCCTTCTCCCTCCTGCGGAGCCCCAGCTGGGACCCTTTCCGCGACTGGTACCCGTCGCACAGCCGTATCTTCGACCAGGCTTTCGGGCTGCCGCGGCTGCCCGAGGAGTGGTCTCAGTGGTTCGGGGGCTGGCCGGGCTACGTGCGCTCGCTGCCCCCCGCTGCCGCTGCCGCTGCCGCTACAGCTGCCGAACCCGCGCCCGCCTACAGCCGCGCGCTGAGCCGGCAGCTGAGCAGCGGCGTCTCCGAGATCCGGCACACGCCCGACCGCTGGCGAGTGTCCCTGGACGTCAACCATTTCGCCCCCGAGGAGCTGACGGTGAAAACCAAGGACGGCGTGGTGGAGATCACCGGTGAGCACCCCCTGCGCTGTCCCTGCGGGCTCCCCCGGGGGACTGGAGGTGCGCTCCCTGTTGCAGGCCCGCTTCCCCTGCCTTGGAACGCAGGGTGCAGCGCGCTCCTGAGGGCCAAACAGCTCCCCTTCCGCCTGAGACCCTCCCCTCCCGGCAGCTCCTCCCTCGGCGCTGTCCGGGTCCTCTACCTACCCCGGGCCGGAGGGCGCGTGTGCGCCGCTCTGAGCACCTGAGCAGGGCGAGCTCAGCGCCGCGCCCCCACCCGTCTCCAAGCTCTAGATCGAACTTTCCCGAAAGTTGTGGGAAGATCCCCAGTTAGGCACCCCCCTCTTCCCCAGACTCTTCGAACAGTGTCTGCCTTGAGATCCAGCTACCCCAGAGCAGGTGGTGGGCCTCTGGCCAGCGGGGACGGCAGGGACTCCTCGCAGTCTCTGACCTCCTACCAACCCCCCCCCCCGCCCCCGCAGGCAAGCACGAAGAAAGACAGGACGAGCACGGCTACATCTCCCGCTGCTTCACCCGGAAGTACACGTGAGTCTTAGGCCCACGCGTTGTGTGAGGTGGGGAGGGAGCTCGGAGAGGAGGGCACGGGAACCCGATCGATCGGAGGGGGTGTTAAAGCTTGGTGTCCCTCTGCACGTCCAGGCTGCCCCCTGGTGTGGACCCCACCCTGGTCGTCTCCTCCCTGTCCCCTGAGGGTACGCTCACCGTGGAGGCCCCGATTCCCAAGGTCACACAGTCAGCTGAGATCACCATCCCTGTCACCTTCGAGGCTCGCGCTCAGATTGGGGGCTCAGAGGCTGGGAAGCCTGAGCAGTCTGGAGCCAAGTAGAGGCTGTCCCCCGCTCTGTCCACCCCCGGTAGCTATCACTGGCCATCCCTCTCCACCCACCTGTATGCTCTTTTTTGATACGTGTATCTGTTTTTCCTCAAATAAAATGGAAGCAAACGCTTATCACCTGCTTATTCTTTGTATGACCCTGGTATTGGGTGGGAGCTGCAGTGAGTGCCCTGAGGGCCCTGCCTCATTCTCACCTTAGCTGAGGGCCTCCTGTGTGCTCAGTCCCCTCCTGGGCCCTGGGGACACAACTCTGTGGCACATCTGTGAAGAGAGGGCACGATAGCAAACCTGTCAGTTACAGATCTCAAGGGCCAAGAATGGGGCACAGGAAGCAAGGAAAAGCTCCTGTCCCCAGCAGGAGCATTCAGGGACTTAGGCTGTGGTCAGGGAAAGGGGACAAGGGAGGGGGAGATCCTAGGAGCTCAGCATCCCTTACCTACTCCATTGTCTTCCCAGAGAGGGACAATGCGAAGGTATGGGAGGTGTGGCACAGGTTTGGGATGGGGTCTCATGTAGCTGGGTCTGGTCCGATTCTCATTACTAGGGCCTTGAACATGTGGTCATCCTCCCTCAGCCTCTTAGAGTGCTGAGATCACTGGTGTTCCACACCATGCCTGTCCATCAGGTGGCTTTTTGAGGAAGAATTGGCCCAGTCACAGGCCCCATCCCCCGATGCCCATGTGGGCAGGATGGGGCCCTGGTGCTCAGTGCCTCCATCCTTGCATAGCAAGGGGTGTAGTCCAGGTTTGGGTCCAGAGACAGTGATCTTTTGACAGGGAGCACAGTTCCAAGGCTTGCCGGGACTGGCCCAGGTAGGAGCAGTCACACCTCCCTTAACCTCCTTGGTCATCCTCACCCTGTAGCAGCAGGCCCAGGGATGGGTCTGAGGGACAGGGTGGGGAGGCCTGGAACCCAGGTTCAAGTTCCCCACGAATCCCAGGGACCCAACACCAGCTCTACCTGCATGGTCCCAGAGCCCAGGACTGGAGCCAGACACGCCCACACTCTTCCCTGGACCACACCTGGGAGGAGCAGTTGCCCACACAGAAGGGCCTGGCACATGTGCCCGACACCACCTCCCTGTGTTGTGGCAAATCTGGGAGTCAAAATGATCTTATAGAGACCAGGAGAGTTGGGTAAAAGAATAAGTTCATTGCCAGGCAATGGCCAGTCCCAGGAAACGAGTCCTTACAGACTGACCCTGAGTTCAGATAATTTCTCCTTTATTATACCTTTTACAGAGTTAAAAAGTTCAAATCGGGGCCGGGGATTTAGCTTAGTGGTTTGGCTGCCTGCTGTGCAAGCACAAGGACTCAAGTTCAATCCCCGGTACCAAAAAAAAAAAAAGTTCAAATAGCGGTCAAAACAGCAAGGGACTTTTTATGGCTTTAAGGTTGGGGGCTTACATAAACAATCTCAAGGCTGTTTTCTTCTCTGTCCAGGAACAGGCTGTCTCACATGAGAGGAAAGGCCACCTAGTATTTTTAAAATAGGGACAGGTTGACACAGACGGGGTCTTTGCGATGGTCTACACAGAGCACAACAACATATACAGATGTGCTACAGTAATTACTCATTATGTTTGGCAGCTCTTTCCACTTCACCTGCACAGCATACCCAGCTTCTTGGTTTCCGCTCCCCGATCTGGTCCCCAGTCTGATGCCCACATCTGGGGCAGGCACCAGGCCAGATCAGGTGGGAGCCTGGAAGGCTTGGCTGGACCTGGAGGAAAGCCATGGGGGAAATAAACACTTGCAGGAAGAACTGTGCCAGTCAAGCTCCAGCATGGGGCTGAGCCTGTCAGCCAGGGCACTGCCCAGCGTCCCCACCCTTCCAGCACTGGCCCAAGACTGTCCAGGCCCATTTCTGAGCCCAGACTCTCAATCTGCCACCCCCTGTCCTGGACAGCGCCCACCCAGGTGTCTGGATACCTCCACACTCCCATGGCCCCGGGACCTGGAGAGTCAGTCTGTCCCGGAGTCTGTCCAGTTCCCTCCAGTCAGAGATGAGGACAGATAGCTTGGGCTGTGATCCTCATAGCAAGCCTGGGGAGAGGTATAATTACCCCTGCTTAACAACTGGGAACAGCTTGTCTCAGAGAGGTGATGACACCCGCCCAGTCCAAGTCTGGGGGGACAGGCAGCAGGGCAGGGTTGTGGCCAGAAGCAGGCCAGGTTAATCCAGGTTCAGTTTGAGGTGCTGCCAAGTACAGCTTAGTGGGGCTTCAGGAGGCGGAAACCTGGGGCCAGGGCTGCTCAGGAGACCAGGGGGCCAAATGCCCCCAGAAAGAGCTGCCAGGAATGTCAGGGCTATGGCCAGGGGCAGGCAGAGTTCAACTGGGGAGATGACAGTGAAGTCCAAAGGCAGTGGCTTTGAGGTTCTGAGCACTCAGGACATCATCTGGGACATACCTGGGGCATAGATGAGAAGGAAGAATTAAATCCCTGCAAAGTTACAGGTCCTAGTCTCCCTAAAGTAGGAGATGGGGATGGGCCGAGGATTTAGCTCAGTGGTTCTGCCTCCTGGCTCACAAGCGCAAGGTCCTGAGTTTGATCCCCGTACCAAAAAGAAAAAAAAAAAAAAAGGATATGGGGAAACCCAGCTGCCAGTAGTGCCCGAGCCAGCCACTGGTGATAGAAATGCTATGAGGGAAGTGTGGGGTTTAGGGCAGCATCTCCAGCAGAGTGGACTCTGGCTGGCAGGACAGGACTATGGGTCATTGCTGGGAGGGCACTGACTTATGTTGGGAGCAATGCTACATAATTCTAGGGAAAAATCATTTGAGTAGGCCTAGTTCTCCAGCCTACAGGCCAGCTATGACATTCCAGACATAATTGCATTTTGGCCTCGGGTCACAACTGAGACCTCAGTGATCCCCGGATGCTGTAATGCTCCAGGACAAGACCACACCTGTGGGAGACGCCAGAGAGGAACCAAATCTTCATCTGCAGAGTTCCTCGTTGTTCTTAGATTTCCACTGCCCCCCAGTCTTTTTACACCTTGTTTATCCCAATGTGAAGTACTGAACTCTGCATTTTCACTTGTTACATCTGTCTCCCCATGTACTGAATAAAAGGTGCTGCAAGCTAGGGGGCTTTTGTCTTTGCTGCCCAGAGCAGCACTCATCAGACCCAAGCTCAGCTTCTTCTCAGTCTCATTTTTCTACCTTTCCTGTAATTCACCGTGTGCTGTCATGGCTCACAGGAGACTAGGACTTACTGCAGAGGTTCTGGTAATGTCCCCTTCCCCTGTTCCCTACAGACTTAAGTCTGTTAATGTGAATTAGGAACAGTTCCAGTCCTCCCCCAGACCTCAGCTTTTCAATGAGTCCATCTTTCTTTCTGCCTCTCTTTTCCCCCTCTCCTATTACAGTGCTGGGGATGGAACCCAGGGCCTATCTCACATGTTAGGCAAATGCTTTACCACTAAGCTACATCCTTAGCCCTTTTATTTTTAACTGTTGACACAGGGTCTCTCCAAGGTGCCCAGGCTTATGATCCTCCCACCTCAGCCTCCAGGTACCTGGGATTACAAGTGTGTGCAACGCCTGGCTCAGTGAGTCCATCTCTAATGGTATTTAGGTGTGTGGGCTCAGACGTTGACCCTCAGCATCTGGGCCCTGTGGTTCAGCAGAAGGGCATCCAAGAGGCAATGCTCTATGCCCCTGAGCTTGGTAAAGACTGGTAGGCCCAGCCCACTCAGTGACCTCAATCCACAAAGCACCCAAGCTATCCTCAGCTCAGAGGTGGTCCCTGTATTGCAGATAGCTAAATTAGTTAGAAATTTCTTTTTTTCGGTACCAGGGATCAAACTCAGGACCTTGGGCTTGGGAGGCAGGCGCAGCACCACTGAGCCAAATCCCCGGCAAGATTAGTTAGAAATTATAAGGCAGTTAGACATAGCTGGGCCCTCAGCATAAGAAAAACAATTGAGAGGGCGGTACCAAAAGAAAAGAAAAGAAAAGAAAAACAATTGAGCCACATTTATTATTTAGCATTGTAAAAAGAGAGAGGGCTGGGGATTTAGCTCAATGGTTCTGCCGCCTGCTGCGCAAGCACAAGGACCGGAGTTCAATCCCCAGTATGGGGCAGTGGGGGAGGTGGGGGAGAACAGTCATTGCAGACTCAGGACTCATCTTTCTTATGCACGAATACAAATGACAAACTTCATTGGCCCGGGGCTTTAGCTTAGTGGTTCCAGCGCCAGCCTTGCAAGCGCAAGATCCCGAGTTCGATCCCCCGCACGACAAAAGAAAAAAAAAAATGAAAAAGAGAGAAACTACTGAACCCACTTACTTGCCCTAGGAATGAATAACGGTGATTGATATTCTAAATAAGCATCCCAATCACCTGAGTGGGGGACTAAGCCCTTAACCCATCCCTTACAGAAAATCTGATAATCCTTATTCATTCCTTGTACCCTTGCTATGTGACCTGGTTCCCTATTTGATCCCTATTTAATCAATATTACCTAAGCAACTATACTTGTCGTAATCTTATTGGTTGATCACAGGGGTTTTTTTTGTTTTTGTTGTTGTTTTTTTTTGGTACCAGGGATGGAACTTGGGTCCTTGGGCTTGCACAGCAGGTGGCGAAACCACTGAGCTAAATCCCTGGCCCCATGGTTGATCACAGTTTTGTCCCACTTTGTGATTTCCCATTGGATCAATATTACCTAAGCTAAAAAAAAAAAATACTACCTAAACTACTATACTCATAATCTTACTAGTTGAGTATAGGTTTTTTTTTTCCTTACATTCTTTTATTGGTACATTTTAGGTATACAATACGTTTACATTTATCATTGGATGCTTGTACCTGTACATGATGTATCTTGGTTATTTTTTTCCCCATTCCCTGTGCGCCTTTCACCCCTCCACCCTTCCCTATTTACATAGACTTCGTTTCCATTTTTTTCTTTTCTCATAATTTTTCATTTCCCTTCTTTCCTTTCCCTCCCCCTCCCACTTCCCCTACCCTTTGTACCTATTCCTATTTCAAATTATCAATTATTCATTTTAATCCTTATTTACACTTTCAGTTTCTCACACTAGAGAAACTATTCAGTATTTACATGTGTGTCCTATTTATTTCACTTAAGAGTATGGCCTCAAT